GGGAACGAAGCAGCTCGTCAGAGGAGTGGTCGGAGGGATCGCCTGACCGAGATCGCCGCATGCCGCCGCCGCGGGAAGGGAGGTCGGCTGGGCGAAGGGAGCGATCCCCGTCTCCCGCAGGACGAAGAGCAGAGCGGAGGCCCTACCGGGAGGAATACTCGCGCAGCGAGGAAGGACGGAAGGGCTCCGGAAGAAAGGATGTCGCTGCCGTAGACCGGGAGGACAACAGGAGTGCAGCCTACCCGACTGGAAGGGATTCCAGGAAGGAAAGCGGGAAGGCGGCCACAAGGACCCGGGCCCCTACTCCCGCCGCACCGAGGCGAAGGGGGGAGGAGGAGGAGCCGAGCCGACCCGTGAGAGGGCGGCAAGACGGCCAACCATCCCCAGGGCCCCGGGAAGACCGTGGAGAGGTATCCGGACTAACCTGCTGGAACTGCGGGAAGATCGGGCATCGCCACGGAGATTGCACCGCCCCGAGGAGACGGTTTTGTTTCAGATGTGGACTCCCGAGAGTGTGGGTGGAATCCTGCACCCGGTGTAACCGTGACGGGGCGGGAAACGACAGACGGAGGGCGCAGTAGGAGCATGCGGCCCTTCGAGAACCGTGGCGGGAACTATGGGAGTTCCGCACGGAGTGCTCCAGTTGGACATACGAGGGCCCCTCCGAGTGCAACGGGAAGACACCCGGCATTTCGTGAGGGCTATCCTCAACGGAGGAGGGCTGTGGGCCCTAATCGACACGGGATCAGCACGCTCGTACTTCGGAGGACCGCTGGCACGGGCTTTTTCAGGATGGAAAGGATTTCCCAAAGGCCTGATGGGCGGGGAGGTGACCGTAGCCAACGGAGAGTCCCTCCAGGTGACGTTCGCGCTGAGGATGCCAGTCACCTTCGACGGAGTGGTCGGAAAAGTGCCGTTCAGGATAGTCACGGGACTGACACATGAGTGTATCCTAGGGATGGATTTTCTGCGGGAGTTTGGAGTACGAATCAACTACGCAGACCATACGTATCGCCTCGCCGAGGGCTGCGGTGTGTCGGCCTCGGCGGAAGGACGGGACGGCGGGGAGCCCGCAGGGGCCGAATGTGCGGGCCTATCCGAGCTGACAGCTGAGCAAGAAGCCAGACTGAAGGGTATGC